ATGGGTGGGGGATGACAAGAGAAAAATCACTGGGAAGGAATAACAGTTATGGTTACTCTACCCTTGACCTTAGTCCTTTCTGTTACGGGTAGATGTGGCACTTCGGGACATGGTTTAGTCTAGTCTACCCTTGATTGGTTTAGAGTAGACTTGGTAGTGTAGGTTAATGGTTGGACTGGATGATCTTAAAGGTCTTTTCCAACCTAAACGATTCTATGATTCTATTCTCCATGTATTAACATTTTAATGGCAACCTGCTCACGCTTTCCTTCCCAAATTCTGTTTTGTGAATAAAACACAGTACCAGTGGGTTGCAAAATGAGATGCCATGAAGCCATTGGAGCTGCACTTGAACAAAGCTGCACTTTGTTCCTCCACTGCCTCACTGCTCTCTCGAAAGGCAACTTTGAATATCCCTGAGGTCAAGCCAGTAGGCATTAGAGCTTTATCATCACATCAGACATGATCTTCCTGGGTTTTATGGGATAAATAATTACCCCAAACCACTCTAATATGTGACACATACTTCTCAAGCATCTTCTGCTTTGACTGAGGCACTGCCCTGCACCAGGCTGGGTGGTAGAGGAAAGCCTGCAGCACTACGTTGCAGACATGGGTCCTGCTGGAGGCACTTCCCCCCCCGTCTTCTGCACAAACCACCCCAAAATTTTAAACTTATCTAAGTTGGCCCCTTCCTGCAAAACCCTGGATTAGCAAATAAAGAGTGTGAGGTAGCTGAGCCACCTGAGCAGGTGGAAAGCTGAGGTACTGCACGGGAAATGCATGCAGGTTTGGAGTCACGCAGCACCTGTCAGGTCCCAGGTTGTCACTGAGCAGCAGTCTCTCTCTAATGTCTCCTCTGTGCAACCTCCACTGAGACCTACCACCTGGACGTGCTGCTCCAGGCCACCTAGACCCCGTCCCCAGCTCGCAGGGGTGAGCCGGCTCCTCCATTTGTCTCCTGTCACGGCTTATTTCCTGCCCGTCGGGTACCAAACTGCTCTGACTCAGCTGCTGGAGGGAGGCACCGCTGGGTCTGTGCACCAGCAGCCGCCCACGCTGCCATCACCTGCCCTCGCACAGGTTGCTTCTGCAACCCCTTGAAGGTCACAGCCCCCACGTCGCCCACGCGGTCCCGCTGCCGCAGCTCGGGCAGAGGCAGCGTTTGTGCAAGCGCTCCTGCCCTCGCCCCAGGCCGAACCAAAGGTACTCGGGATCCTGGCGTTGCTCCGCACACCCGTGGTGTCCTCCACCAGTCAGACCCTTGGCAAGGGCTGCCTGGAGGACCTCGGCACAGCCCAAACTGGCAGGGCAGCAGAGGGGAAGGGGGTGTATCAGCTTTACTACCCATGTGGCTTATGCCAGCCCTGGGAAGGCAAGCAAACTGTGTTTGCACGCAGGGGGCTCTCACTGAGCTGCAGATGCGCCGGTGGAGGTGGCAGTGGGGACTGCTCTCCCCGCCAGCCCCCCGCCAGCCGCCGGAGCAGCCCTGCGCCTCCACCATCTCCCTTGTCCTCCAGGTTTCCCCCTGGGAAAGACAGGACAGTCCAGGTCAGGCGTGAGCGGCCTGAATTCATAGTGGGAGGTAACCAGAGAGGCTTTGCCTGGAGGCGGAACAACTGCGCTCGTCTGCGCCGTTTCATCGCCCTGGCTAAGGGTTGCTGGCAAGGGTTGTGGTGGAAAGACTGGAAAGAAACCATCTGCCAGCAGCCCGGGTTGCTTACCTCAAAACTGCCCAAGACTGCATGAAACTGGAACTAGCAGTGGCTCAGGCACAGCAGAGCTCACAAACACTGCAAGAAGAGTGCAACCACAGGCATCATAAATTCAGACAATTTCTGTTTTCAGCAAGTACTCAGCTGCAAGCAAACAGAGTGCAAGTAAACAGGAATGATTTAATTATCATATAAATGTAATTAATTAGACGCAGGAATCAACAGGGAGTCCTTCTCAAAGACTGGTGGCACATTACTGTCAGCTGTAGAATAGTTATCCACAGACCTACATGAGCAAGAACAGATATTAGTTTCTGCTCTTAATGTTGTACTATTATTTTGGCTTATTTTTTTTCCTCCAAGGCAGACAAAAATAGGGTTTAAAAATGTAACTAAAAAAGACGACCAAAAAAAATTTCAAAGCAAGTAACAGAAACCCAAAGCTGGCGTTGATTCACTGTTGCACTTGTAATATGAAATAGGCTAATGATCAAATTAATCAGTATTGTTGTACCAGTCCGGTATAATCAGGAGGCTTAGTTCTTTCTGTTAGAGGGCTGGGGACAACTAATGTCAGGTTAAGTACAGGTTAGGCCATTGCTGCTTGTAGCAGTTGGACTGAGGGACGGACCATCTTTTCCCAGCTTCTTGCACCACTTAGTTCATGGCCCCCACCTAACACTTCATGTGCTGCTTCTCCGAGCATGGAATGGGCACTTTCATCTGAAGTTAAGGATCTAACATCCACATTTGGGCTGTGATCCCATGACAGCCACAGCCACTGGGGAATTCGATCCTGTTGCCCACACAAGCATCTTGCAACGATGCCCGAGATGGCTTAGGGCATGAAAGATATACCTGAGCTAGCAGGTATGACTGAGGACCGATGAGACATGTGAACTCTTCTAGACTAGCAGCCAAAGGCCAGGCAGGAGACCTTACAGCATCTCATGTAGCATTACGCATAGACAACTTAACCGAGGCAGTCAGTAGAGTCAGTTCAGCCCACAGAATGAGTCAGATTACCCTAAAGGCACTTACTAGCTAGCTCAACTGCTCTGCTTGGCCATATGCACCTATATCTCAACACTTAAATTTAGGTGGTTTAATCTTGAGCTGTATCCCACATGCAGCTCCTGCAGAAAGCAAGGGGACTGCAGCTCCCTCCCCTCCCATTAACTCACCACTGTTGCTTATGGCTTTGCTGAACTTGCACCAGGTCCTGCCCGCATGTTATCTTCAGACGCTCATCAGAGACCTTGTGAGTTACGGCAACCAACATCAACCAGGGGACATTTATAAAGCTGGGGGTTTGCTCTAAATTACTCGCCTCAAGGAACTAACTGCCCAGTTCAGCATCAGCCCATCACCCAGGAGACAATCCTTTCTTTCATATGCACAACATGTCATGTATCCCACCTTATGTACTTACTGGGGATTTGAGCAACTTATTTTGAAACTTGAGGCATGCACCAATGTCAGTGCTGGCATTTTACGCAAGCTTACAGAAAAATAGTGAGACATCAGCTATCCAAGCCCCAGAAAACAAAGGGCTCCATTTAGATGCCTGAACGCAGGCATCTAGTGCCATTTGAGATGCCCAAAGGCACCCAAGATACACATGGGGTTGGCAGATATCACATAGAACCTATGGAAGCAGCAGCTGGAAATGTGGAGACCATGCAGGATACCCCAGGGTGTCTCAAATGGTACTCAATGCCAAAGCATAAGCAACTGAATTAAGTTCTAAAAATCTTGTGTATACTGAAGTCAGATGTATGTCTCCCACATCTAACAAACACGTATCTTGCAGAGCAGCTAAGCAGCAAAAGAGCTACAAAAGAATTGCATCCCTATTTCGGGTCTACTGAAATCTGGCAGAGCTTACAGACTGTGTCAGCTTATTTTCTTATGCATATATAATGCTCACTGAACCCCATGAGCTGCTGTGATAACAATCTCTGCCAGCTTGCTGAATGGATTCCTTTCAGTTGCTGCCTCTGAAGTTATGTGGCTAGAACAGAGCTTCTGCAATATACCAGTGCACCGGGAACACCATTTTTTAGCTACAGGAGCAAGAGAGCTGTCTGAAAAGATTCATGAGCTCAGAATTGATTATCAGACCGTAGGAGCGGAAGGTCATTGTGTCAAGGCTCCTGACTACTGCAGTGAGTACATACTACTGGCTAATCCTCTTATAAACACATGCACTTCCATTGAGGTAGAATACCTCTAATGATTTAAATCCAATTTTTATTAATTGGTGCACTGTTTATTACAATGAGGTTGTTACAGCACTACAGTCTTAACTGACCTAGATGACAGAAGAAGAGTATACAAGTCTTTCATCTGCAGTTAATAAATCTGGGATCCCGTGAAGGCTGTGTATGTCTTTCTTGAATTCCAATCTCAGGATCTAGCATTAAACTATGTACCATAAGTATTTCCAGCAATTAGTGTTAAATGAGCATGACTAGATAGATGACTAATTTTCTGGACTACCAGCAAGGAGTACTGACACGATTTTTGCTTTAGAAGGAATTACTTAGAGTGAAATAATCACTGCCCAGGTCAAATCTGAGATCCTCCACACATTTTTTGCATAATCTAATTAATCTAATTAAGATACCTAAGTGGTTAAAAACCAGAAAATATGACTTGTCTTTGGATTTTAGTATTAAGGAATTTAATGAGAAACAGTTATTTGCATGGAACAGCATACACCTTCCTGTGCAATTTAGAACATATATCATTTTTCCATAACATGCACTTTAAACAGCCGCCATCCTTGAGCACAGGTTACGTGAGTGGATACTGCCACCTAGGCAGCCTTTTGGGAGCAGCACCTATTTTAGAACATAAATTGTCTTTGCCAGGGAAAAATATACTATTATCCAAAACGGAGGATAAAGGAACATTTTTTATACTGTTAAAAAATGACACATCACCACTCAATGAAAATACAAAACCTGCCCCTCAACCAGATTGCAGTAGTCCACATTAAAAGCAAAAGTTTTCTACGTGTTTATTAAGAAATATATTACTCTGTATTTCCATACACGCAACTTGAACTTAAGCTCTGCACTAAATTACAAACTGCTTTTATCTACAAAAACCGCAAATACAAAGTATATAGTATTAAGGCTATTAAATACCAAAGCACATTTTACTATGGCAGTACTATAATTGTATCTATTTTATACGCTTTGAAATATATTAACAGTACATTTTTAGAAGACAGTTACTAAAATACCTACTGATTTTCCACAAAGAGAGAAATAATTTTTAAAACCATTTTTCTTCATAAAACAAAAACAGTTTCCATCCAGCACAAAAAATATTAACTACATAATGCATCTATCATTTAAAACAATAAACAAATTCTATACATGGCATTTACAGGAGACTTACAGACAGAAGACTTGACTAATAATGTCATTTTGATTAGAAACACTAACAAATAGCTCCATTATCACTTGTGAATTCTGTAGAGAACGTAAGAACTATGAACGCAGAATCTTAGTAGTAGAAACTGAAAAGATTATTATTTAGCACCTTCCACCTGTACAAGTCCTTTGAGTGTGGCTTTTTGAATTGAGTTCTGCTGGAGGGCAAGCATCACCCCATGTTACATACAACGAACCATGCTACAAGGATTGCTCCTGAGGTTTGGGACAGTGAGATGGGAGTTGCCTAGGAGCCCTGAGAAGCACACCGCTTTGAGATGTGAGCACGTGCACTTTGGCACCCATAATCAAGGACATTGTCCCAAAGGCCAGATTTCCCTTGGATTTCAGTGGATCTGCTCGATTAATAACCTCCCAGATCATCAGAATGGGTGGCGAAGGGGCATGGCGGGGAATATCCACTGGCATTCAGAGTGAAGCTTTCCTCCTGAGCTTCCTCCCCGCTGTGTTTCAGCCGTCACCTCGAGGAGTGCCCTGAGCAGGTTTGTGTACAAAGGTATTCTTCGTTCTCCCTGAAAGATCCCCCTGAATAATAATGGAAATGTGGTTATCTGGCTACTGGCATACATCTTCCCAATCCCTCCCCTCCTTCCCCCATATAATAAGAAGCAACGCAGCATGAGATTGATTTGTACAGACAGCAAAGCAACCAAAAAGACTAGGAACTGCTGAATTCACACTTAATTTAGGTGGTGGAAAAATGAGCAGAGCTGGTACCAAAGGAATTCAGTAATAAGCTTTGAAACTACTGTGCTGGAAGAAGATCTGCTGCCCTTTGAGCAGTCCTGGAATGTAGGGCAAGAGAGGATAATTTTCACATCTTTGCTGTGTCCTTGGCTTGTCATATGGAAAAGAAGGGCATTATTAAAAATTAAGCAAACCTCCACTGAGCTCAGAAGCTCTCAGTCTGAAAGGCTGGACTCCTTTCTGCACTTAGGGATGTTCAGTGCCTTTTATATTCACACAGGAAAAATAAACATTCAGGTTTACTTTTGTAATAGAGTCTTTTGGGTAATTTTGTATTTCTGTGTCCTCACCAACAGAAAATGGTACGTGCGCTGCCTCTTCTCCCACCACTTGCATGAATGTGTCAGGGCACTGTTACGTTTTCTTGACAAATTGGCACATTTTGCACAACTGCTTAGCAGCAGACATGTTCCATATCTAGAGGAAAAATAATTAAACAAAGATATTGCAGCAAAGATGTACCAATGGAGCTTCTCACCTATAGCAACAAAGCAAAAAAATCTCTCCTCTCTTCTCAAGAAAATGGGAGTTTTCATTTCGCTTGCAGAAAGGTAAATCAGTATTTGGGACTATGTTACATGTAGCCACTCAACTAAAGGCAGCTAATGACAATGGTTAAAGGAGGTCTCCATCAGACCAAATACACAAGCTGGTCCGGCTGTCTAAGGCTTATTTTGTTAAAAATACAGTCACATTCAAAGAACCCCTTTGGGTTTTCCCAAAACAATAACAAAACCAAGAGACAACATGTGCATAATAGGTTTTATTGAATAAAATTCTGCTTCTAATATTTACACAGTGAAGTTCAGAGATGTAACCTAGTGAAGCATGGCAATGCATAACTTTCATACAACATCTGGAACATCTTTAAATACATCTGAAACTACTTATTACAGCAATCACCTGCCCATCACTGATTTCATAATTAAGGAAGATTTGAACTTTCTGAAGAATAGCCAAGTTGAATATTAAGGATAGTTGAGTTCAGAGAAAACAGTCTGCTACGTGAATTCCAAACCCAAAAGATCTGAGTAAAGTGTCAAGAGTTTTGAAGGCAGCTTCTGTATTTCCCTGTTGTTCTTTTAATCTCTGCAGAAGAAGATGATAAAATAAATTATAAATCTCAAGGCTGAAAGTAATATCCACAATTTAAACACACAGAGTCTTCCATGGTAATCTTACTTTTTAAATTTATAACGTCGTCCTAACCTCAAGGTATATGAACTACAACAAAATACTTACTTAGTATGTATTAAAAGCTATGCTAAATTTTTAAAGCTGCCGAGGTAGACACACAGAAATGGTGCAACTGATATCTAGGGTCAAGACAACACTAACTGCTACCAAAAAGTAAAAAAAAAAAAGTTTACACATAAGCTTTATGATGAAGTATCTTCCACCCCACTCTAGCATGTTAAGCAAAGTGTTATGTGTTGGTTTTTTAAAGCTCTCCTAGACATACTATCAATCTACTATTACAGTGAAGAAGGGTCTTGTAAAAAAAAAATATAGTCAATACCTTTCCTATTTATAGGGGGGTTCAAAGATAATTTCATTATTCCTGATCTTGCATGAATTCTGAGCAAGGTCTGAATGCAAGTATAGACTTGGAACAGCCATACTAACAGACTAACTCATAGCACTAGTAGCCTGTTACCTTATATTTGAACTACTCACTGCTTGTGTATAAGACATGACTCACTGGCCATTTGCATGACTTTTGCCATCCAGCAGGACAACATTATAAAGCAGGAACTCAAGTCCCTGGAAGTTGTTTATTCTAGTGGATTACAGACAGCGCATTATAAAAGGCAGGCAGTCTAGCCTGCCACATTTGGGATTCGGTGTTGAAAAAAACCTGGTTGTTAGTCTCAGATTGAAAAGAAATGATCTTGCACAGTCTCTCATATTTTATTTACCAAACGGGGAGAGGAATTATATTTTTTCTCTGTGCCTCAAGTTAACCTGTATAAAGCCCTACCTAATAACCAGGAGTACAAAAACCAGAGAATTACTAACCGAAGTATCTACCAGGTCCCTTCCTGTTTCCCAGCACAACTTAGTGGATGAGAAAGGGAAAGCGTTGTGTCATTTGCAAGTCTCTCCCAACTGGAGCACTGGTTCTGAGCAAACTGTATTGGATGTTGAAATACAACTTCAAATACAGGCTTGGAAAGAAAAATAAATTTAAATCAACCCCCCACCATCCCCTATCTTCGTCTAACCTTTAAGCACCAAGATTAAACTTTCCGTAAAATAGTTCCATAATGAAGTTTAGTGTGATAACTTTGTATTTTTAGAGACTAAACTTGTAATAGTAATGGTGTCTCTACATATACACAGACACTCTCATGGAGGTAAGCTGTCACCTGGCAGGGACAGCTTTAAAATTGAGAATTTGACAAGAAAACAGAACATGCAAATGTGGTAGAAAAAGCTGCAAAAGGTAACAGAAAAGCACTTGGCTATTTGCCATTTCTGTGCTACAGCCACCCCTCAATATATTTGTGTATCACAAGAGTATATTTTATAAAATTTGTGGCTGTTTTCTTCTTTTATCTCTCCCCCCCACACACACCTCCCCACATGAACAGCCAGACACCGTTCCATCTATGCAGGAAATATATATCCATCCTAATCTCACCGCTTCTTTTCTCTTTATCTTTTTTCCAACTACAAAGCATTATCTGGAACACAGCTGCCTACCTGGGAGCTATTTCTGTTATAGCTAACATAGCTATAAATTTTAGTAACTAAGAAGTTGCTGAAAGATACAGATTTTGCTCTTGCCTGTCTCATCGGTGAGGTATACAGTATGCATTGTCAAACGCTGTCTTTGAGCAGGAAAACCATCTGTACTGTCAATCTCCAGATAAGCAACTATGCGTGTGTGAGACACTATCAACACAGGTTGAATAAAACCAAATGTACACAAGATAATAAGGCTAACTTTAGAAATGATTGACTGTAGCATCCAGCTTGAGACCCTGCATTAGCCTCAGACACAAAGTAGTAAGTTAATTCAGGTGCCTGAGAGCAACCTTTCTGGGTATGAGGTACATTTATACACACAGCCAAACATACTTTGGGGAGGGTTTTGTCTGTTTGTTTTTTAAAGAAAATGTGGATTTATTCTTTGTTAAGTGAGAAACACTTACTTGTGTGAATAAGGACAGAAAGATTTTGATACACCAGTAACTTAAAGAAAAGCATAGTGTAACTGGTAAAAATAAGTTTGGAGTTAGCATCCCCATACCTTAATATGGAGCCTGTTTTAACGTCTGCAGAGGACTTTCAAACAGTGGTAGACCACAAGACATTATACAACTTGGTGTTATCCAGTAACAAGCAGAGGGAATCATATCACTGCAGACTTCATGAAATAAAGTTGCAGGTAGCTTCTCTCTCAAACTACAGAGATTTCAGGCCATGTTAGAAAGGACAATCTGATATATACCATTGATATATTCGACAATTACCACTTGGGGTTTTTTTTTCCTTAC